TTAGAAATTTTGGGATTAGTCTCTTAGCAGTTTCGAAGTATACAATGCAATATTGTTGTTTATAAACACTATGCTGTTCATGAGAGCTCCAGCACTTATTCATATTTTAATTGCAAGTTTATACCCTTTAACAACATTTCCCTATTTCCCCCCCACCATCTTCTGGAACCTACATTCCAGTCTCAGTTTCTATGAGAACTGATTCTCATAGAAACATTTTTAGATTGCACACATCAGTTATATCAGACAGTATTGGTCTTTCTCTGTCTGACTTATCTCACTTATCATGCCCTCAAAGTTTATGCATGTTGTCACAAATGGCAGACTTTCCTTCTTTCCTGAAGCGGAATAACATTCCATTGAATGTATGTAACACATCTTCTTTTTTCTTTCATCTGTTGCTAAGCAATTAGGTTGTTTCCTATTTTAGCTACTGTGCATAATGCTGCAATACACATGAGAGTGCATGTATCTTTCCAGCATCCTCTTTTCCTTAGTATGTATAACCAAAAGTGGATTGATGGTTCATGAGGAAGTTTTGTTTTTAATTTTCTGAGCGCCATCCATACCATTTTCTGTAATGGTTGACCAATTTATATTCCCACAAGAAAAGGATTTCCTTTTCTTGGCATCCTTACTAACATTTGTTCTTTTTTTTCAATGACAACTTTTCTAACAGGTGGGAGGTGATAGTTCATTGTGGTTCTGATTTGCATTTCCCTTTCCCTGATTTATGATGTTGATCATCTTTTCAAATACCTGTTAGCCATGTGGATGTCTTTTTTAAAAAATGTCTTTGTAGTTCATCTGCCCATTTTTTAATTTTTTGTTATTGTTATTGAGTTGTATGTGTTTCTTATGTATTTTGGAATTTTTGAGGATCAGCCATACTGCTTATCTGGTTTATCTGGTATGGTTTGCGAAAATGTTCTCCTGTCCAGTAAGTTGCCTTTTCAGTTTGTTGATGTTTTCCTTTTGTGCAAAATTTTCTTAGTTTGATGTCAGATGAGTAAGTTTCACTTTTATTTTGCCTTTTTCATTTTTGCTTTTGTCACTGGGTTTTGTGTCATATGAAAAATATTATTCCCAAGACTAATGTAAAGGAGGTTCTTCCATATATTGTATTCTAGGTGTTTTACAGTTGCAAGTTTTTTATTGAAGTCTTTAATGCATTTCCAGTTAATTTTCATGAGCTGTGTAAGACATGGGCCAATTCCATTTTTCTGTATGTGGTCATTTAGTTTTCCAAACACTATTATTGAAAAGATTCCTTTCCCCGTTGAGTGTTCTTGACTTCCTTGTCAAATAATGTATGTGGAAGTTTATTTTTGGTTGTGTATTCGGTTCCCCTGTTCTATGTGTCTGTTTTGATGCCAGGACCATAGTGTTTTAACTATAGCTTTGTAGTATAGTTTGAAATCAGTAAGTGTCGTATCTCCAGCTTTGCTGTCTTTTCTGAAGATTGCTTTGACTGGTTCACAGAAAACCATTACGGCTTAATACTGAAATATTTATTTTTATTAAATAGTAATATATACTAAACAAATATTATTTTTCATTAAATATTAAAAGTTTAATAGTAAATATTCTATTAAGTATTAATACAATGATAAATATTAGGCAAAAATAATTTCAAAAATCAATAGCATGATTAATTTAAAAAATATAAAGTATACAGGATATGAAAAATGTGAGGTGTGATCAGAAAAATATAAATTTCTTTGTGAAATGTAACATGAGATTCTATGTTAAGAAAATAGCATGAACACATTTAAACACCAATAAAAAAGTGGTAAAATATTTGCAATGCACATAACAATCAAGTTGTAAATACTTAAGAAGTAAAAAAATTAATGCTCAGTTCTTGAAAATATTGTTAGAAGAAAAATATATTTGTTCAAAAACATATTCCGCATCATAACTGAAGGTTGATTGAGAAAGAAATGCAAATTTATAATAAAAATTATAGAATAATAAAATAAGCTTCAGATAGTCACTTTTTTATAGTAGTGAAAGTTTTTAAAGAAATCACAAAGTTTCAACTGTTAGGATTGATTTCAAATTATGTATCACATAAATATTAACATAAATATTACATACTCCTCAAATGACTATACAAATTTATAGCTATTGAGATAAAAAGAACTTTTAGTATTTAATTGTCAAAATGATTTGAAGAACAGCACATACGAGATGTTTCATATTTGTGAATAGACCCATTAATATGAATATGTTTACATAGGAAATTTATGGAGGGGCATAATGGAGACACTAAGGGTGGTTTTTACCTTTAGGCTTAATTTTTCTATTTCTGCTATGTTAATTTATTAACAATAAGAAGTACTTAAGGTAAAAATATGTTATCCAGGAAAAAAGGGGTAATTATATTCTGCAACAGCTATTAGCAGCTACAGATGTTATTGAACAAAAGGAGGAAAAGGTAGGCTTGCTCTTTTTCATTTGATTTTTATTTTGTGTAAAGTCCTGTGTTAAGAATCACTGTGGAATCTTTAATTCTCTGAAGACACCATCCCCAGTGCTGCCTATTTCAGGATCTTTGCCAAAAGGTTACACAAAACATTGATAAATAACATTGGATCGTAATTCACCTGGGACTTCTGTCCACATACAAGCCCATGTAAACCGTTACTCATCCTTCTAACCCTGGGGATGCTCAGGGATAAATACCCAGCTTAAATCAATGTCTGTGGTCTTTGAAAGACGTAGAAAATTATCTTCTTCAAGAAACAGTTTGATCTGTTTTACAAAAGTGGAAAGATATGAATAGTTAATTGAATTGTAGTAAAAAGGAACAAGTGTTTATAATTTTGAATTGATTAGAGACTTTGATAGGGCTGGATTTGTATATCAATAAATAGTAGGTCACCTAATATCAATAAATAGTAGGTCACCTAAAATTGATGAAATGAAGGGTTTCTAGAAGCAACCTTGAATTGGACATCATCTGATGTCATAATTTACATTCCTGCACTCTCTAAAATGTTAAGTTTTCTAAAAGACAAAAGAAGTAAACATATAGTGTCAAACAATAGTGTCAATTTATTTACAAGATATTTAGGAGTGAGGACAAGGATTAAAGTTTGCAGGGTTGTGTAAGGCACAGTTGTGTTGAGACTAAAGGAAAGAGACGTAGGTGGCCTCTGTATGTTTCCTTTTCTATATTGTAAGTCTATTAGTCTATTAAATTATTTTAATTTCTTAATCTATTGTAACTATTCATTTAATTTATTGTTAGCTGTGTGATGCTCACATTCTTGGGAATGCCTGGCTCATCCTAAAACAAACCAGGGTCATCCCTGCATCTCTTTACCAAAACCTGTAAACTCTTGGAGATTTACTATGGGAAATGGGCAGGTGGTGAGTACAGAGTATTTACCACTTCTGAAGAAAAGGACTACTTTAAAGCAATTAAGTGAAACTCTCACATAGCCAATTAATTAGAATTTATATACCAAATGATGTAGGTTTTTTCAATTTATTTATGTCCCTAACCAAGCATTAGTGAGCAAAATCATTTAGCACGCATTAATCCAGTTAGTTGGTGTTAGCTGAGGAATAATGACTAAGCAGTTGATGGTCTAAATCCAGAATTTAAAACTTTTAATCTCTGTTGTTAATATATTTCTTGCAGGTCTACTGAGGAAGCAGGAATTGAATCCATAAAAGGAAAACTATTTCTCTGCCAAACACAGGAAAAAAGTCAAGTAAAACTATTTTTGCCTTCATGCAGGTATTATATAAATACTGAGTATATAGTCAGGTTATGGTGTGACTTAGGAGCCACTCAGAACATTACTTCCACCAAAACAAAACCCAATGAGAATCTCCTAGATTACAGTAGGGATATAGCAAAAGTAAGAGTTGTAAGAGAATTTTAAAAATTGAGTCCACACAATAAATAATATAACTTGACCTAGGTCTGAGGGAAATATTACCTTTAATTAATTCTGTATTTCGGTACCCTATAGCTCTGTGGTTATAACATTAATAAACAAGACAAAAAGTAATGTATCCAACAAATTTCTATAACCTCTATGAAGCACAATGTGTGACAAAAACCCATGAAAAGTTCCTAATGTGGATTGGGAGATTTGGAAGAACTTCTCTGAAAAGTTCAAGTAGAAAAAAGGAACGAATCACAAAGAAGCAGGAATAGGTCAAAATCAGCAAATGGACGGAGCTTGGGAGAGGGAAAAACCACAATGATTAGATGAAACTTTCTCCGGACAGGTTGCGCATGTAAAATGAGTTCAACTGTGTTGGTAGATGGATCTAGAAACATCTTGGGTCATAAGCACATTCCACGTATTTTTGATTTATTCAGGAAAAAATGGTGATAAGCAGATAGTGACAGTGAAATTTTGTTTTGTGATAAGGGAAATATTCTTAAGGGGTTCAAGTGTGCTATGAACCAAACTATTCCAAAGTGCAAATTAAACAGATAGTGCACATTTAAAAAACTATCATGGAAAATTATGTTTTCCTTGGACTTTATTATTCAAAAGATCCATAAAAAGTATTTTTTCAAATATGTGTCATGACTACTTAGTATGCTATAAAATGTATTAGGTGATTCGTGTATTTATTTTTAATGAGGTGCACTAGAAAATAAATTTTCAGAGAGCAGGGCACCTAAGGGTTATTAATATTTTATTCACATTTTTGTTACAGATATACGTATGTGAATATGTATCAGTGTGGGTGTGAGAATGTACAGTGGGCTGCTAAATGAAATGTCGATCTTACCATATGTTGAAGTAAAAACATTTGAAAGCCAGAATTCTAATCAATCTGATGATATGCTATTAACAGAGCTGAGAGTTTAAATTATTTTTAAAATTCATTAAGTAAAAATACATGTAAAATACATTGCTTGGCTTTTCTGAACAAAATCCATTGTAACACATTTTTCCCACCATCTTCTCCGATCTTAATCCCTCACTATTACATACAGATTGGGCAAAGGTCAGGACCCAGGAATGAGAAACCACACATCTCTCACCAGTTTCATCCTTCTGGGATTGACAGATGACCTTCAGCTACAGATTCTGATTTTTATATTTCTACTGATCACCTACATGTTGAGTGTAACTGGAAACCTGAGCATCATCATCCTCACATTTGTGGATTCTCATCTTAAAACTGCGATGTACTTTTTTCTCCAAAATTTCTCCTTAGAAATCTTATTCACTTTTGCCTGCATTCCTAGATTCTTGTACAACTTATCAACAGGTGACAGGACTATTACTTATAATGCTTGTATATGCCAACTATTTTTTATAGATGTTTTTGCAGTAACAGAATTTTTTCTCCTGGCCACCATGTCCTTTGATCGATATGTAGCCATCTGCAACCCCCTGCATTACATGACTTTTATGAGCTACGGAGTCTGCAAAAGGCTCGTCTTCTGCTGTTGGATGATGTCTTTGTTGATCGTATTGCCACCACTCAGCTTGGGACTGGACCTGGAATTCTGTGCCTCTAATGCCATTGACCACTTTACATGTGATGCTAACCCTATACTGAAGATCTCATGCTCAGATACATGGCTCATAGAGCAGATGGTTATTGTCTGTGCTGTGATGACTTTCCTCATGACTCTGGTGTGTGTGGTTCTGTCCTACATGTACATCATCAGAACAATTCTAAGACTCCCCTCTGCCCAGCAGAGGACAAGAGCCTTTTCCACCTGTTCGTCCCACATAATCATGGTTTCCATCACCTATGGCAGCTGCATCTTTGTTTATATCAAACCTTCAGCAAAAGCTGAAATGGCCATTAAGAAGGAAGTGTCAATACTCACTACTTCCAGTTCCCCCATGCTGAACCCATTTATTTACACTCTGAGGAACAAACAAGTGAAACAAGCCTTTCATGACTTGGTCAAAAGATTTATATTGTTCTCAAGGAATTAGGGGAACATTGTTGTCCAGATCCCTAAACATATTTTCTTCAGTTTCTGTCTAATTTTCTTCTTTTCTGATCTAGATTTGGCATTCCATTCAGGACTGATGCTGGTCAAGTCACCCCTTTCATCACCTTATAAAGAAACCTCTTTGAGATAATAATCTTAGTGAATAAAAGTGAGAATAGGTGTTTCTGGAAATCTAAGCATGATTTCACTCTTAATATTTCCTTACCAATGCTGAAAGGATTGGGAAATTTGTCATAAAATATTAGTGCTATGGGGCACATCATTCCTCCAAATAAAACATACGAACAAAATACAAAACAAAACAAAAAAACTTATTGAAATAAGAAGAGACATAATATTGAAAAGAATCAATAATTTCTGTGTGCAAAAAGGAAATATTTTATACACCCAAGATATATTTTAATACAAAGAATAAGTATAAAATTTAGAATTTGAAAGAAGCATTTATTACTGAAGAATCTTTAAAATCACAAGATTCACATATTTTATTGACTGGATCCAATCCAATATGTAAGTTATTTAAAAATTATGGAAGGGAGATGAATTTATTAATATGAAGAAAGAAATGCATTGTTATTTCCTGTTAAAGATAAATCATTCCCTGAAGTTACATAAAAGAAATTGATATTGATGTACCAATTAAAATGTGAAATCTTGAGTGTAGAGAATTTAAGCAAACAGATGGCAGTGAGTCCAAGGAAACCAATATGGGGCTAAAAGAGTGATAAATTCATAACCAGTAAGCCAAGTATTCTGGAAATGAAGAAAAGAGAAATAGAACATAATGATAATACTAATATCACTGTGAAGATTTGCTCTTTTAATATGAAAAAAAATGTGTCCAAATTATGCATCCATGGGGTAAATGGAAGTTTTCAACCAGAGTTTCCAGAATTTCCCACCTGGCCTTAGGCCATTTTCATACCAGCATGTGTGTACAACAGCAGAGCCTCTGGTCAATCTGGGTCAAGGGGTGGAGAGACAATGGCCATTCTCTCCTACCCTCCATTCCTGATAACTAGTTGGTGTGCAATGACCCATCCATGGAGATCCCAATAGAAGGGATTGTCTGTGGGATAGAGTGTGAGCCACAGCCAGAAAGGACAGATGGAGTGAGGGCTGGCTAGCAAACTCAAGCAAGCTGTTGGCAATAAAATCTCTTTCCCAACCTGCCATTCCGCGTGTCCTCTTTTGGTTTCACCTGATTCATAGCAACTTGCCCAGGAGAGGGGAACCCCTTATCCCCAGAACTACAGCACCTAACAATGATTTCCTAAAGAAAGATCAGCATTTCATTACTCATTATATTCTCTACCAACTTTAGCTTACATAGTGCAACATATGAAAACTTCCTTTGATACTTGTTCTCTTACCTCAAACCACTTCTCATATCACGGCCCAGGTAGGCAGGAACTTTTCCCTCATTTTTCAGCTTTCAAACTCCCAGGGCTCCCCAATTTAAATGACATTCCCACGAGGAATTTTTTGCTGACCTAGTCCTATGATTCCACCAACAGAACGACCAGTCCTGGGTTAGTCTGACTCATTCACGCTAGTGTCACCACTTACCCGCTGCTTTCATTCCTTGCCCTACCACAATTTCATGTTTACTTGTCTTTATTCTACTCTCAATGGCAAACGCCCTGGAGAATGTCTGCTTCATATGCCAAATTCTAGAATCCTTTATGTCTGGCACCCAAACAAATACTAGTTGAATAAAAGATAATTTTCCAATATGAGGTTTGAAACTTCTTATGATGCAAAATGAGAAATATGTGAGAACAAAAACCAAAGAAGTTATATTTGACATTAATCTGTGAACAAAAGATAATGAAAGGCATGGATATAAGTAAAAATTATGTTAAAATAATTATTTCTAAATATGTGAAGGAAATAAAATGCAAGCCAAAATTTGTTGAAAATTTATAATATTGATTGGAACTCCAAGGGAATATTTTCCCAGCTGGGGGCAAAATACTGTTGAAACTTAAATCAGTCAAAAGGAGAAATAAAGTGGGAGAAACCTGTTAATTGCCTACAAGCAATCATCCACTTCTGCTTGCCCGGGCTGCAGAAAAAGGAACCCCACCAAACGTGTCCATTCCAGGTAGGCCCTGCTCCCGGATGTAATCATGTATTGCTTTAGGTTGTACTACTTCTCTCCACCTCTTGGAAATACCTATTGATATATGGAGATGCATTAAGGCCAGGTGAGAGATTCTGGAAATATTGCAATTTTACCCACAGCCCACCCTCCAGAAATCTCACATCACAATCTGATCTTGCCCCATCTCCCACAATGGCCTATGTGGGAGAAAACTGGAGCATTGTAACCAGACTAATAACATACAATAGCAACAACTGTAAAATCAAGAGTATCCTCAAGCAGGAGGATTCAGCTAGTTTCAAAGTCCTGTGCAGACTAAGTCCATAGCTCACCCATTCCACAGGCAGGCAGTAGTTAAACAGGTAGGGAGTTCAGAGCATCATCATGCAGCATTTGCAGCTGGGGCGGGTCGAATCTGCAGGGAGTGTAGAAGAAAATGACCTTAAGGATAAGATTCATCTTTTAATGATATCAGCATGAGCAAATCTTGTCCATCAGGCAGAATGCACGCAAGAGAGTGCTCCTGTGATTGGACAGTGGCAGGAATGGGGTCTCATCCTGGTCTAGTGTACCAGACTTTCAACCCCCACCCTGTGGAAGTTATAGATGGGTCAATACATAGATAGGGCTACAGGAGGTACGTGCACTGGCCATAAAGATAAAATAAAACTCCTCTGATGCTCTTACCTCTCAGATGTTTTGGGTACACTACCGAGATTTTCGGGTAACTCTGATGTTACAAAGGACAACAAAGGAGGCCAGCTTCCAGGCCATTTCCCCAAGGTGCCAGGAGGACCAGACATCACTGGTCCATGTGTCGAAATGTCCAAAGCCACATCCACTCAGCAGTCTCTGGGGTTTGACTCAGTTGGGGCTGGCAGCAGGATGTTGCTCTGCTGGCCATATCCTGGCTTCAATAACTCCACTTTGGTTTGCACATACACTTGTGTAGGAGAGAGAGCAATGTGTGTTAGCATGTCCACAGGGCTCAAGGCTCCTTTTGGGTGCCTCTCATTCAAACATCCTAACACTGTCCATAAGCAAACTGACCAGCCCTGTAGACTACTGGTGTCTGACTTCAGGCCAAATTTCAACAGACCATTGTTCCTCTCTATCATGCCTGCCCGGGGTAGGGTTACATGGTAGATGAAACTTCCAATTTATTCCTAATTCTTACATCCATTCTTGTAACACATGCCCAGTAAAGTGGGTGCCTTGATTGCTCTCAATCACCTGCGGCTGGCCACAGGCTTCAAAGAGACGTTCTAGGCTCCTTTTGGTCATTTGCTGATCTGCACGATGTGCAGGAAAAGCAACGAAAAGTCCAGTAGCCATGTCCACACAAGTCATGGCATACCAATATCCTTCTGATATGGGCAGAGGCCCAATACAGTCTATCTGCCACCTGACATGATGCATTGGTCCCTTTACTATTGTTCCATGTTGTTGGGGACACAGTGTAAGTCCCTCTTAGAGCACAGAAGGCGCTCCTTCTGGGATCTGCTGACTTCTTCAGAGGTCAATGGCAAGCCCCACCAATGGGCTACAGCCCACATTATCTTCTACCCCACATACAAGAAACACTGATGTAACCATTGGACTACATCAGAGGCAGGCTTTGCTTTTAGCCAGTGCACCTGGACCAATGTGTCTGCTTCATCATTCCCTGGAGGTGCCAAAGGCAAATGGGCAGTCACATGATATACAGTAACTGTCATAGGCTGACTAAGGCCCATAGTTCTTGCCACAACCATTGCCCCCAAAGGAGATGGTGACCAAACACCCGGCTGGCATGGTACCATGTCGGTAACCACAGGGTCAAGCCCCAATAGATGGCTCAGCTCGCAGTGCAGACAATTATAGGGGAGGGCTCCTGGGTGATCCCTACTGCCCATAACTCAGACCATTGACTACTCTTCTATCTCCATCCCCCATCTATATCATCTCAGTCTTAGCATGGAAAGCCACAGCCCTCCACCTGGGGCTGTCTACAACTGGAGCTGTCTGTATACCAAGCATCTTCAGGCATAGGGGCTTTCCCATCCTGATAAGGACTTTTGGCTACCACTGGCTTAAAAGCAAGTTCTTCCTGCTTTCCACTGATATAAGTCATTGGCCCCAATAAGTATCAGAGTTCTCCACTCAAGGGGCTAGTAGAATGAGTATTACGCTGCTGAAAATATGTGCCCCATTTGGCCAGTGTAGGCATCTGTGCCATGCCATTCCATGGCCTTTGGGTACAGTATCATACCCACCCTGATATGGGATAGGTGTTTATTACCTTGGTCGGAGCTATTTCAGTGACGGGCTCTGTTGCCAGCAAGTCATGGTACAGAGTAGCCAGTTGCTTCTCTACCAAGCTGTACCAGGCCTCTGCTCCTTTGTATAGTTGTGAACAGAATTGAATAGGTTGGCGTGTCCACTGAAGCCGCTACTAAAGACCACATCCATAACTATCTTCAGTTACATGAACATCTAGCTTCCAGGGCCTTGATGAGTCCATTACACTCAAGGCCTATATGGCGTTGACTGACTGCTTGGCAGCAGTAAAAGCACTCCTACCTCATGCACTTTCATATCAACTAGTATAAGGGCTTCAGAATTTGTGCCAAGTGCAGGATAAACATAGTAGCCCAAGAGACCCAGAAACTCATGTAAGACTGCCACAATGGTAGTGGTGGGGGAAGCCTGGACCTTGTCTATGACTGCTTCAGGAATAACTTTAGTTTTACCTGACCAGACAACCCCCAAGAATTTTACAGACAAATGAGGTCCCATAGCTGTGGTGCTGTTCACAGCCCATCCTTTCTCATGCAGATGTTGCATCAATCTAAGAACTTCTAAATCTGAAAGAGAATCAGACGAAGGCATAA